CTTAATTCATTGAGGCTTCATCTAGAACGACCAGGCCTTGTGACCCTGCTCTCATTGCACATTTTAAAGGCTTTTACGAAGGCTTCATTGTTTTTAGACTATTTGGATATCCTCTGAGGGTCTCTGTTGTTTCATCTTAAGAGTTTTCTGGAAACGTTGCCATCATGTCGACAGCTGTGGAAGCGACCGGGTTCATCATGTGCATAATCAGCTGGCTGATCAACGGAGCAGCCCTTGGTAATGACTACTGGAAGATTTCCACTGTGTCCGGCAGCGTCATCATCTCCCAGAGGCAGTTTGAAAACTTGTGGCACTCCTGCGCGGAAAACAGCGCCGGCATCGCCGAGTGTAGAGACTTTGAATCGCTGCTCTCCCTCCCTGGTAAGAAAATAATGATAATCCAATATATAGTATCTGACCCTGTTAGAGTTCAAAGAGCACTGATTTAAGACCTTTAGATATCTTTAAGAAAAATATATTTTCCGACGAAAGCAAAGATAGTCAAGGCTTTTTGATGTCTTCAATGTAACTTCATAATATACATGAGGATATAGTCGTCCTCATGAAATAGGAGATAATCAGCAACTGGAGCCAGATAAACTGCTAATTGAATAACTTGCTAAAGTCTGTTTCACTGAATGTGGAATTATCTAAAACTTTTGAAAGGTTTTTTTCATATTTTTATGAAAGGAAGAACATTTAAGACCAATAAAGTGACTTGAGAAGGTGAGAAGAAGCAATTAGGTAAATTTTAAGCTCCTCCTATCCATGAGTTCATAAAGTATCAGAAGAACATCAATAATCAGGTTACAGCCTTTGACAGCGTTTAATAAGGTTAAAAATGTCATTGGAGCTTCAAACTCTCATAAAAAAGCATTTCTTTTGTGAATTTATTTGAAAGCTTATCAGATCCGTTGTAAAGAAAATAGGCCAGCGTGCCATGTGGCACTATTTCAGAATTACTCGTCCAAAGGTTGGTGGATTTTACAACCAGTTTCCCGCCTGAAAAACTCAAAATGAAAAATGTGACAGTTATATATTTTACAACAAAGACAATACAACTAAATCTTCTTTATGTAAATTTTGTTAATATTACTGATGTTATTCTATGAATTAAGTGTTTTCTTACAATATGATGTGTCATACTGTGTAAGATTATCTTTGGGCGCCATTTTGAGCCACTGACAATAAAATGGAGGCAAACGCCTGTCCAGACGAAACAGAAGCAGCCAGTAGTGCTGCTTCCTCTTCACTGTAGTTTGGCCTACTTTACTTTAATCTGCATTTACTGGGTTTAGATGTGAAATTATATATGGAAATCATGTAATGAGTAAATCAGAAGTATTTTTTGGTTGCCTTAACTCTTGTTTAGTTGTAAAAGTGTTCTAGCACAGATGTGTTTAGGGAGTTTAGGGAGTCCATTTAGTCTAATATAATCAAGTACATTTAGTTTTGGTTGCAGTTTTTTATTGAATGTTTCCAGAGACAGAAATACTGAAACTCAACATACCATGTTTTTATGGCTGCATTACATAAAATTGAAAAGTCCTGGATGTCCTGACAGACAAAGCATTCTGGTAGCACCATGGTGCGTTTCGAGAGAAGGTTGGCCGCTTTTAATTTGAGGTCAAGGCTACTTTATGCAAATCAAAAGAGTCCGGCAGCTGAACTCGCCGCCTCTAGAAACATACAAAAAAACTGTTAAACCAAATGCTGCCGATCCAAAACGAAGACTGCATTGCATATTTCTCATTTAAAATGTTTTCGGAAACACATTTTAGTCAATTATTTTACTAATAGGAGAGAAGCTTTCTAAACGACCCGCCATGTTGGTCCGGTTGGAAATCATGAAGCAGAAAGCATTCATTCAATCAGGAGCATCCAGGAAGTGTTTGCGGTTGTTGTAGGTTGTATCTTTTTGTGACTACTAAGGGTTCAATCCTGGGAACCCTCGGCATCCAAAACCATTATAGTCTTACATAACATACCAAGTCATTTAGGTGTGATCATTACAGTGTATGATTCATGGTTCAGCCCTTCTGCCTGTTTGGTTAGCAGCTTACTGTTTGACTCTCCTGAAACTCTCTGAGGCTCATAAGAAGGTGTGGCAGGTTTTTATGATCATTAGAGGTCATCACGTCAATAAATGACTACAACAGTAAAGCTGGGGACTGTAAAACACGCACATAATGTTTCTCCCACTTCCTGCCTTTTCTTTTTCTTTTTTAAATCTAAATGAGATTTTTTTGGGCCATCAGCCATATCAATAATAATGATATTGATATTTTATATAATATTAATAATAGATTTATTGTATGTGTATTGGAAGCTGATGTAGTAGAATTTCTTTTCCTTTGATGCAGTGTCACGTGCAGTTAAGCGTTGCCGCAGCTCTGATGATCATCGATTCTGGCTGTCTCGGCCCTCTAAGGCTTCCATGATGCTGTGTCATCTGCTCGGACTGAAGTGCATCAAGATCAGGATCTCGATCCACACGAGCAATCCTAAGGCCAAAATCGCCACCACCGAGGAAAATTTTTCCTGAGAATCGTCTCATGGTGATGTTCATGTTGATGTGGAAGCAGAAGATATATGATCAAATAAATATAATTATATTTTAAATGAATCCTGTGGCTTAAATTGAGCTCGGTCAACTTCTTCTTTCCTGTTTCTAGATATGCTAATTAATGCTAAGCTCATTCTTGTTTGATAAAGACAAGCTACATTTTAGTAAATAACGATTGATGCTGAACATATTAGCTATTCACCTATAAGTATGAAATGATAGATTTAGCTTATCTTTTTTAAAGCTTCCTGCAAAGTGAACAAATGTAACCACACAGTTTAACTCTGCAGTTCTTTTTAACATGTTATTCTTTGTATGTTAAATTTTGAAGGCCGTTTTAGGTGATCCGGCTCACTCGAATATATATAAATATATATAAAATGCTGTGATACATTGCATTGTAAGCAAATTTCTATTGTACAACTGTAGTCAGTCCTTTCAAACAAATATATTAGCTAACTTAGATGTGACTATATATATGGTTGTTTTATCTTTTAATCAATGCTTCAAATGTGGTTTGTCTTTTCACATAGATTTAGACTAGCATATAGCATATTAAGTATATATAGTCAAAACGGAAATTCAGGTCAGCGTGGCAGATCGAGAGCTCATGGAAGAAACCATTTGAAACTCTTTTAAGTGTGTGTTTATGTTTTTGTTGTGTGAAATGCAGGTTGTGGCTGCATGATCGCCGCGTATGTCCGGAAGCATTAATTCCAAACAGTTCCAAGCCAACCAAGCATGGTGGATCGACCTATCCTCGTGCTATCGGTCCGGGACAACTCAGGGAAACGATATTTTATCTTCCCCCCATGCTTGGGTTGGCTTTGGACCTATTTACCCCAGAGCGAGAGAAGAAAGTCTCTACCAGAATGCGTCTGAATAAACTTTCACTCTGGCAACCCTGTAAATGTTAGAAGTGGCTCCAGACAGAAACTAACATACATTATATTGGAAATCAATTGGCAATTCTGTATCCATCCGCGGGTGTCGCGTGGGAGGCCCTAAAAGGCTGTAATTAGGGGACGTATTATCACACACACATCCAACCATAGAGAAAGGTAAAACACAGGGAGTTGCTAGAATTGGAAAATATAATTAAACAGGCTGAAAACAGAGTTGAAGCAACAAGTGAACACGGACGAGCATGAGAAAACTGACAAAATCAAATCAGCTAGTAATAATATATAGCCCAAAGGTTGAATTTAATTTATTTAAGGCTAGACAAACATATTTTGAGTCAGGAGACAAAGCAGGAAAGTTGTTGCCCGTTATATAAAACACAGGGGAAGCTGGCCTCCACTTATTCCGCTGTTAGGTCGCCGGTCGGGGACCTGCTTACTGCAAACTGTAGATATTAATCAGGCCTTTAAAGAATTTTATAGTAATCTCTATAGTTCGACATCTACCTCCTAGTGAAGAACAAATTCATAAAGGT